CAACTTGAAAAAAATACAAACGATGAGACTATTTTTCAAGAAGAATTTATAGTGAGAGATAGATATAGAAATATTTTCAACAGAAAAATAGAAACACAGTGGAACCTCGATTATCTGCATTAATTCAGGCAGAATCTAGTTCGGATAATTGAAATTGCAGTTATTTTCGTATTATTTCGTATCATTTTGTATTATTGAATGGCATTTGTCTTCTTTTTGGTATTTTCATTAAAAGTCAATGGTTAGTCAATAAAAAATCTTTATTTTTAGGAGATTTTTCGTCACATGAAACACAAATTTAAAATTTTTAGTTTTTACATCTGTAAAAACTGAAAATTTGTGTTTCACATGACGAAGAAATTGGGATAATCGAGGTTCCACTGTATATTTGTTTCGATAATATTATGATAAGAGTTGCATATATTGTTATGCTACAAATTTTGATAAGAGTATTGTTTTGAGCATATTGTTTTGATATGAGTTGTATATACTTTTTCGATGTAAAGTATATATTGTACACACTTAGAAATAAGACCACGATTTTAGACCACGATTTTAGACCACTTCTTGTTACACAATACAAATAATACACTATCAGCTTAAACTAGGGAATAAACTAGGGAGAGAAGTAGCTTAATGAGTAGGAAGTATTTATGGTGTAATGAAAGAAAGGTACCGCCACTGCCACCGTTTCTTTCTCACACCAACACATCCAAGGTTATATCATTCATTTTAAGCAGAGCGACGCGGCGCTTTTGCGTGTTCCACAGTTTAGGGAGGAGATGAGGGAGAGTAAGGAGAATGTGAAAACATAGTCTCTCTCTCTCTCTCTCTCTCTCTCTCTCTCTCTCTCTCTCTCTCTCTCTCTCTCTCTCTCTCTCTCTCTCTCTCTCTCTCTCTCCTCTCTCTCTCTCTCTCTCTCTCTCTCTCTCTCTCTCTCTCTCTCTCTCTCTCTCTCTCTCTCTCTCTCTCTCTCTCTCTCTCTCTCTCTCTCTCTCTCTCTCTCTCTCTCTAAGTGCACCAAACTACAATCTCAAAGGTCTGTTACTCAACAAAACTTATGTCAAGGATGAAAATGAGAGTCGTCTTATTCGAGAGAGTCACGTATCTTCAACGCAGTTTAGAGACATTTCAAGAGGATACAAATTAGCTGTTGAAACATGTACCACAAAGTTCGTAATTCAATGCCTTTTTTTTCCTCAAATTTCACTATATAACACGACAGAAAAAATAAGCTTCCATAGGTCATTATTTTAATGTTATTTCAAATATCGCAATGCTAATTGTATGGCACTTATTCTACAAATATGGAATATATATGTATATTATAACTGGGTGATTCTTCTGAAAGTCCCAATTTTTATGTCTCGATTAATTTTACAATATCTACTCTCTAACAATTATTATCAATTTCCATAGTAAACATTGAGCACTTACTTATATCATTAAAAAAAAATTAAACAATTTTATTCATCTGCATTTATGCAGAAATAATTTCATCTCCGAAGCCTTTTTAGCATGTCTCCAATAGGACATTTATTTACATTAATTTAGTTTTAAAAAACTAAATTTTTACAGTTTTTTTCGAACTCTTAGAAATTTTTTAAAAATAGTGTCAGAAAGTACAATGTTTTTTCTATGATTATATGCATTTAAAAATTTTTTAAACCTCAGTTTTATTTTTGATAAAAATGTTTAAACTTTGTCTTCAGTTTTATAGGTTAAAATTACTTCACGATGATTACTGATATATTTTTGTACATTAAAAATATCCTAAGCAAAATTTTAATGCACATTAAAATAAATCTGAGAATCTGATGTTTAATTTGCCCAGAAATTATTTGTGAAAAGGAGGCAAGTTATTGCTTTTATAAATAATCGAACTTTACATTTTGGTTCGAATAAAAATTCAATTTCATCTCCGAAGCCTTGCTTTTTGTTAAAGAATTGAATATACAAGTAAATTTAACGGAATATTTCGATGATAATAAAAAGTTACATTATGAATCACTCTCTAAATCTTAGTGTAGAATTCTACTAATAAATAGTAAAATTTCACTAATTGTCCGTAATTTTCATGCATGACTTCTCCCCCTTTTTGATTAGTAAATTTGACTAATTTTTAGTAAAATTCTACTAACAGCTAGTAAAATTCTACTATTTCTTAGTTAATTTTTAGTAATTTAAATTCAAGCAGTACATTTCTGCAAAAATTAATAAAATAATTTTATTTATTTTTCCATAATACCAAATTTGTTAAAAATAAGAGCATTGTTTCTTATTCCAGCACAATTTTCAATAAACCATCGTGTAAAAATGTCCCTATTGTATCATTTGTTAAATTGTATTGTACAATTCAGTATATACCTATACACGTAAATTTTACCATACTTTTACGTAATCTCTCTTTTTCAATCCTAACAAAATGCAACCAAAATATCAATAAAAATACTCAAAATTCAGTAGCATAACAAATACAATTTCTCATTTTCCAAAATTTCAATAAACGTTCAAATGAAAAAAAAAGTTATTTACTTCTTTTTCAAATTCTAATTTCATTGTAGAATTATTAAAAAAAAGTAATTTATAAGGCTGAAGTCCGCAACGTTTTTAAAAACGAAACAATACTTATTTTATTTGCAATTTTAAAAATAATAGAATTTAAAAATTTTCTAATTTAAATTTTTGTTGAAAACACTAAAAACTCAAATTTTAGAGAAATTACAAATAATTGCAAAAATTAAATTATTTTCAAAGAAAAATAAAATTCTTTTTATAAAATTCGACTATGTTTAAAAGATGAAAAAAATTCTCATAAAAATCCCAATTATCTTTATAAATAACAAAATTCTTCTCTAAAGTTCAATTATTTACATAAATGTCAAAAAAAAATTCTTGTCATAATTTCGGGGGCCCCCTGATTTCAATTATTTTCAAAAAATTTTCTAATTTCAATTATTTTTAATATCTATTATTTTAATAAAATTTTCAAAAAAGAATTCAATTATTTAAAAAGAAACTTTAATAAAATTGTAACAAACATATAATTATTTTCATAAATAATCAAAATTTCACAAGAATTAAATTTAAAAAAGAAGTTATTGATGTTTTTGAATAATTTTGCAATTAAAGAAATTCGTAAATAAATGTAACAAAACACTTTTTTGAGTAAAATTTTTTTCTTTATTTTCTAAAAATTAAAAAATTTTCAATTTCATTTTCAATTAAAATTTTATTTCAATACCTTTTTTTAAAATAAAATTAACAATTTTAAAAATAATAGAATTTAAAAATTTTTGTTGAAAACACTAAAAAAAATCAAATTTTGAAGAAATTACAAATAATTGCAAAAATTCAATTATTTTCAAAGAAAAATAAAATTCTTCTTATAAAATTCAATTATGTTCAAAATTTGAAAAAAAATTCTCTTAAAAATCCCAATTATCTTCATAAATAACAAAATTCTTCTCCAAAGTTCAATTATTTTCATAAATGTCAAAAAAATTCTTGTCCTAATTTCAATTATTTTCAAAAATAAAATGCAGGTTTCTAATTTCAATGATTTTCAATATCTAATATTTTAATAAAATTTCTCAAAAAGAATTTAATTATTTAAAAAAATTTTTAATACAATTGTATGGAAACATTTAATTATTTTCATAAATAATACAGGAATTCAATTATTATTTTTATAAAAAATAATTTAAAATTCTAGAAAATAATAATATTGAAATAAAATGATAAAAATAATTTTGATGAAGTTACAGTAATAATATTCTTGTAATATAAAATAATGATTTAATTACTCGGAGCAATCGATATCTTCATGTTTTATAACAAATACTTTTATAATTTGTTTAATTTAAAAAAGGTTTGATTTTGAAATTTTTGAATGTCTTAATTCCTGTGAAAAATCCTATTCCAAAAATAAGATTAAAAATAGAAATTGTGCAAATATTTTTCTTCTTTTTCTAAAACAAAATAATAATTTTGTTAAAAAAATTGTGATTCATAAAGAAAAATAATGCAAAATAAATAAATTTTCTATTTCTCAATCACAGTTGTTTAACAATTTTCTAATTTTGTTTACAAGTAAAGAACAAAAATCTGCATAAAATTTCAATTTGATGATCCCCAAGTTTTGAACGTTCAAATGAACGCAATATTTTTTATTGAAGATATTTTTATAAATTATTAATCACAAAAAATTTAAAAACTGAAATATTTACGGTTAGAAACTCAGTTATTAATTTTTTGGATAGTAACGCAAAATAATTGCAATAAAAATTTAATTTGTAGATGAAATAAATAAATTTCGTTCATTTAAACGTTCAGAACTTTAGGATCTTTCAATTTGACATAAAACATAATATTTAAAAAAATTTTAGTCTTTTAATGAAAAGTAGTGAAAAAAATTCTGATGATTTCTATTTGTCATTGCAATTTTGAATTAAGTATAAAATAAAAATAATCATAACATAATATACAATCCATCTAAACTAAAGTTAACAAAAAACAAAAGTATAAACAAAAGACAACTTCAGAGTGTAAGGGACAGAAAAAGTGAATGAACGAAAATTCAAATTTTTTTAGTAATTCTTGTTATTTTTTAGCAATTGTCTTTGAAGTAACAATTATTTTTTTGAAAAATTTGTACATATTAAAATTAGAAATGAATTTAAATTGAAAAAAAAATTCTTTTTTGAATTTTCGTTTTTAAAAACGTTGTGGACTTCAGCCTCAATAATTTATAAACATTAAAATTATGTTTAATGTACATTTTTAATTTTTGAAAATCATTTTGCAATAAAATGTCCAAAATATTTCATTAGAAAATAAGAAAAAGACGTTTTTATAAGAGAAAATTAATTTCTTATTGCAATCAGTAATTTTTGGATTTCTCTAAACTTAAATTAAACTTGCTTCATCTGAACGTTGTAAAAATTTGAAAAATTTGTTTTTTTTTGGTTTAAAATTATTTTTAAAAAAGAGGTACTCACTCTTCTTCCGTCAGAATGTTTGGGACTAGGGCTTGGACTTGGCGTTGGACTGGGTCCAGGAACAGTGACTTCTTGATGCTGTTGTTGTTGTTGTTGTTGAAGATGCTGCCTCTGGCTGTTGCTAGTAGATTTCTTCTCCTGGTGCCTCAGCGAGTGGAGACGCGCAGTCATCTTAACAGGACCTCTCGGCCCTTTTTAAGGTCGTTCTCTTCACCCGTCGAATTTCAAATACTGAGACACTTATCATTGCGTAAATGCGCCCTTCAAATTTTTCAGTCTCACTTTTCTGCTTCTTCTTCTTCTTTCTCTACTCCTTTTTTCTTTCTTTTCTGCTTCTTCTTTTTCTACTCTTTTTCTTTCTTCTTTTTCTACTACTGTTTTTTTTTCTTCTTTTTCTTCCTCTTCTACTTCATTTTTTACTCCTTTCTCTTCTGTCACTTCTTTCTCCTCAGTAAATCACTAAATTTCAACTCAAGACTTTAAAATTCCGCCTTAAAAAACTCTACAAAATGTTAATTTACAGTTTATCAAAAAAAAATTCACCGATACACTCCGAATGAAGAAAACTCTTTTTCCTTCACTTTTTTTCAACCTTTTTTCAATCTTTTTTCCAAAAGTTTTTGAAAAAATTCTTTTTCCCGAAAAAAGAATAAATTCTTTTCACTCTTTATTGAAGTGGGGGAAAAAATAAAAAAAATTTTGCCAAAAATTTATTCTCCCGATGAAAAGAAAGTTTACAAAAGTTTCAACCCCTCTCCATCAAGTTGTAGTGAGCGCCGCCACATGGTTTGAAATCGCTCGACCACTTGTCAGTGTCGCACTCGCACTGTTCACCGTGGGAACGCGGGAAGAACGTTTCTAGCAAAACACACGTGACACACACGTAAAATCCAAAGTCGTCGGAATTGTATTTATATATATGATGTCCTTCAAAACAAACGATATCCAAGTCCAGTCAACACGTGTCCTAACAACTTGTTACTCGCGTGATTCACACACTCTTATACACCATAGATATATATGTGTGTAAATAAAAAAAAAACTTTTCCTAATTCCACTTTTCGAAAGAAGAAAAAAATTTCCTCTCTCTCTCTCTTCTTTTTTATTCACACCAGTTTTTTCAAAAAACTTTTTTCTAAATCTTTTGTTTTGAAACCGAGGTTAAAAACAGGCAAAACACGAAAATCCATAAAAACGATGATTGAGAAGAAAATAGTTTGTTTTGGTAAATACTGTTTTTTTTTGTTGTATTTTTTGCAAAAGTGCGAAATGCACGAATGATGTTCACACGAAGAGCGACGTCGACGGACTGTGTGAGGGTGCGATTGGCTCTTCAGTGTGCCGGCTGACGTGTGGGAGAGGGTGGCAAAACGAGGGGGCGACCAGAGGTGGCAGCAAGCGAGAGAGTGAGTGACTGAGAGAGAGAGAGAGAGAGAGGAGGGCGGCGATCACGCGCGATGGTTTTGAGCATGGTTGGGAGTCCCCTGGGGGGACTAGTCGGCTCACTCGCTCGCTCACGTGCGCCCTTGCCTACGGGCATCCAAACAGTGGCGTAAGCATTAGTGTCGGTAAACTTTAAAACTCTTTCCGACTTTGCGCTTGTTGGCGTAATGGGGTCAATGTGTCAAATCTTTAACTATTTAAATAATTTTCATTTCTCAAGAAAATAAAAAAAATATTTTTTTTATTCAACCCAACAAATTTTTTATTTAAATCAACTCTCTAAATTATAAGTAAAAAAAAAATTATTAAACTATTTCATCAATATAACCTTCAGTTTTAAATTTGACACTAATTTTTACACAATTAACTAAATTGTTTATTAGTAAACATAATTTATACAATTGTTTGTAATACAATTTTTTACTCTCTAAATTTTAAATAGGTAAAATTGTTTACTAATTTTGACATAGTGACTGACTTTTAGCTTTTTATTTACACGGAAAAAAATATAAAGTAACTTTTACTACTTTTATAGTAAAAAATGTCTGGTAATTTTTACTATTTTTGGAGTAAATTTTGTTTTGTTCGAAGTAAATTTTATTAGTTTTTACAAATATTTACTTCGAATGTAGCAAAATTTACTCCAAAAGTAGTAAAAATTACTACACGGAAAAAATTAATTTAGTACATTTTACGAAACTAATTTTGGAATAGCGGATACGGAGAGGAGTTTAGTATAAGATAAAACAGAATCAATAGTAATATATGATGACTGCGTTTCTCGAAAACTCAAAAAAAATTCTATGGAATTCACAAATGATCGGTTGGACGTTCTAATTCAAGAGTTTTGTAAAATGTTTAGCCTGAAGCGCATGCGCCACGGAAAAAAATATTCACGGAGAAAAAAACGAATAAAGCAGAAAAAAGAATTTCTTAATGTACCAATGAGCTCTCAAGACCATTTTTTCTCGTCTTCTATAGGAGATAGATGATTGGTTCGACACATGTGACTGCACTCTACAACGCAATGGTTCGCTTGGATTGGCTTATTTTATTCTGACACTAACTTAACGGAAATACGCATACATATAAACGAATTCTGACGCAACGCACATACAATATAACTCGCACTTGTAGATGAAAGAATTGAGTTTCTTTATATACTAACTGAGGAGATTAAAACTGCACTTGTGAGAAATGTCAATATACTGAATATTAATTTAAAAAAAAATCATTTTTTTAAAAGTTATACAAAATATTTTATGGTTTTTAAAATAACATTTTTTGATTATAATTAGTTATAAAATCTCTATAAAATTTTTCAATTTTTAGAAAATAATTTTATTCTTAATTTTAAATTATAAATAAATTGACAAAAAATTTTCAAAATTAAATTCAAACTCAAAAAATGTTTATATTAAATTGTCTAAAATTTGAAGTAATAACAGTTAAAACTTGAGAAATTAATATATATATTGTCATCGGTAAATATTATGATAAACTATAAAATTTATTGGAATGTAAATTAAAAGAAATTAATAATAATTAAAAGTTTGGATTACAAAAGCACATAAAAAATGTTACGAATTTGGAACAATGAAATGTGAAATACGTAAAAGAAAACAATTATCCAAATGTTACCGGCAGGTAAAGCAGTTCTCTTTTTCCTTCCACATATTATCTCTATATACAGCAGACAAGTTAATACCGACGCGACGAGACAAGCTTCAACATATCTATTTATAACGCGACTTTTGGTACACCCCGTATAGAATTTTACGAAACTTTGTGTTCGAGAATTCACGATAGACAGCGAAGTGGAAACTCAAACCACGCGTTTTTAGATTGCACGAAACATTTTTACCATTTTCTGATAAAATGTTCACCAGAAAATACGAAACATTTCTACATTCAAGCTTGTTTTATAAATTACAACATTGGTTGCAGTTTCTCGACAATTGTTCTGCTTAAAGTAGTGAAAGTTTCTGGGTTTTTGAAAAACTTCGTCAAGGAATCTTAAATATCCGCTAGTGCGAAATTAGTTTCGTAAAATCTGCTGAACTTATTTTTTCCGTGTAGAAATGCTTTACCGCAAATTTTGTACTATAAAAGTAGTAAAAGTTACTTTATATTTTTCTCCGTGTAGTAAAATTAACTATAACAATCTTTTTTCATGATTCATAATAAAATAATATTAGAAATTAGAAAATTAAAAAAAAATTATGATTAACAAATGAAAAATGTATACCCATTTTGTTTATTATATGCTTTTTTCTATAACAAATTTGACTGATCTAAATTATTATGCAAAATATTCTCCTTTATATTTTTAAAAAATACTAGAAAATTGCTAATTGTTAACAGCATGTGACTGTTACAGAAATCAATGTTAATTTTTTCGACCACTTTTCTCTTAAAATATTGAATAAATTAAGCTAGTTTTTTGTGAATAACTCTTAAATATCATAAAGAAGGGCAGTGATATGAAAAAGTTTTAATATTTTTAAAATTATTTACTAAAAAATAACTTTAAAATTATCAGTTCTCAAAATCACTTTTAATCAATTTCTCGTCTTTTCCGATTTCAAAGTATTTTTTTATAATTTATTTTAGAATTATTAAAAATTTTGCACATCACTGCTCTTCTTTATTATATTTTAGAGTTATTCACAAAAAACTAGCTTAATTTATTTAATATTTTAAGAGAAAAGTGGTCGAAAAAATTAACATTGATTTCTGTAACAGTCACATGCTGTTAAAAAATTTTGATTAAGAAGTATAGGAAATATAACCATTTTATGCATAATTTTTATTTCTCAATAACGATATTGTTTACAAACTCATTTTTTTCATTTGGGAAGAAAAACATTAGATATTTCCGTTTCTTAATATTTTTGTAGAAAATTCTCAATTTTTATAAGGAAATAATTTGCATCAATTCTATTTCTTAATTTCAATTGTTTTAATAAAATTCATAGTATTTTTTTAAAATCAAAGGAAAATATTGTTTATAAATTATATTTGTCAATTAGAAAATTTTTAAATTTTTAGAAAAGAAAAGAATTGAATTCCTTAAAAAAATTTTATTATTTATAAAAATAATTAAATTCCTGTGAAATTTTTATTATTTATGAAAATAATTAAATCTTTGCATACAATTTTATTAAATTCTTTTTGAAATAATTGAATTTTTTTTTTGAAATTTTATTAAAATTGCAGATATTGAAAATCATTGAAATTAGAAAAATGCATTTTATTTTTGAAAATAATTGAAATTAGGACAAGAATTTTTTTAACATTTATGTAAATAATTGAACTTTGGAGAAGAATTTTGTTATTTATAAAGATAATTGGAATTTTTACAAGAATTTCTTTCAAATTTTGAATTTTTATTATCTAAAATTTAAACTAAAATTCATTTTCAAATCAATTTTTAATAGAAAATTCTACGAGAATTTAATTATTTAAATACAAAAGTAAATTATTTATTGAATAATTGAATATTTCTTAAAATTTAATTCTTACAAAGAATTTTATTAACAAATTTTTTTAATAATTGAATTCTTTTGACGAATTGTAATAAAATTTTTTAGAATAGTTACATTTTTCAAGGAATTTGATTCAAATTGTAATAAAAATAATTGAAATTCTACAACGCTTTAATACTTTTAATATTCAATTTTTATTATTTGAAATTTTAAATAAAAATTTATTTTAAAATCAAGTTTTACTAGAAATTTCTACGAGAATTCAATTATTTAAACACAAAAATAAATAATTTATTGAACAATTGTATGTTTCTTAAAATTAAGAATTTTATTATTTATGAAAATAATGAAATTTTAGTAAAATTATTTATTTATTTATTTAATGATTATTATTATTATTTATGAAAAAAATTAAATGTTTGCGTACAATTTTATTAAAATTGTTTTTAAATAATCGAATTTTTTGGGTATTTTTATTAAAATAGTAGATATTAAAAATCATTGAAATGAGGAAAATTTTTGAAAATAATTGAATTTTAAAGAAGAATTTCTTAATTTATAAAGATAATGATTGGTATTTTGTCGAGATATTTTTGTAAATTTTGAACATAATTGGATTTTGTGATAAGAATTTTATTACTTTTGAATAAAGAGTATCAAATTGTTACTAATTATTAAATTTTTGTAGTTTAATATTTTAATCTAATATATAAATATTGGAGCGCATGATTATTCCCCAAATGTCAATTTTGCGAAATGTCATTTTTGCGAACTGCACTTTTGCGAAATGTCATTTTTGCGAAATGTCATTTTTGCGAAAAGTCATTTTTACGAAAAGTCACTTTTACGAATTGTCATTTTTGCGAAAAGCCATTCTTGCGAAATGTCATTTTTGCGAAAAGCCGTTTTTGCGAAATGTCATTTTTACGAAAAGTCATATCAGCAAAAAGTCAATTTTGCGAAATGTCATTTTTACGAATTGTCATTTTTGCGAAAAGTCATTTTTACGAAAAGTCATTTTTGCGAAAAGCAAATTTTGCGAAATGTCATTTTTACGAATTGTCATTTTTGCGAAATGTCACTTTTACGAATCGCCATTTTTACGAATTGTCACTTTTGCGAATCGACATTCTTACGAAATGTCATTTTTACGAATTGTAATTTTTGCGAAATATCATTTTTGCGAAAAGTCATTTTTGCGAAATGTCATTTTTACGAAAAGTTATTTATGCGAAAAGTCATTTTTGCGAAATGGCATTTTTACGAATTGTCATTGTTGCGAAAAGCCGTTTTTGCGAAATGTCATTTTTGCGAAAAGCCATTTTTACGAAAAGTCATTTTAGCGAAAAGTCAATTTTGCGAAATGTCATTTTTACGAATTGTCATTTTTGCGAAAAGTCATTTTTACGAAATGTCATTTTTGCGAAAA